ACATAGATAAATACTTTGGCAAAGATAATATAGAAAGTAAAGATAAAATAAAATAGAAATGTTCTAGAAATGGTAAATGTACAATAGATACAATAGATGTCGAAGGTATTGTAACAGATTTGTAATACAAGACTATTCTAGAATAACTAACATTTCAAGGGTCAATGCTAATGAAAATCAGATAAGGGGTATTAAAGATCTTGGGTAAAAATCAAATATAACAATTCTCCCCACTAATCTATGAGTTCTACGAATTTAATCTTGTATCAGAATAATAAAATCAGAGTGGAACAATTGTCTAATTAGGTGAAGAGTAGTGGATTGGGTTCTATAAATTTGATGGATTCCAACTTTACTAAAAAGATAATATGTGTGTATAGAAGCTGAAGAATAATATCTGATGATCTGTAAATTTAGGTAAGATCTTTGTGTTCGGCTAGGAGTTGTTTCCAATAATTCCTCAAGATAGTAAGCATACACAAGAGTCATGATTCTGTTTCTTCTTTGGAATGCCCTTTGTAACTTTTAATAGATGTTTAAAAGTTGTATTTCAGTAGTCTGCAGAAGATCATAAGGGGCTGATGCAACATCTATATCTTCAGGAGTATTTTGCAGAAGATCTTCAATCAAAATAGTATAAGCAGCCATGGAATTATTAATTGCATGTTGGAAATATTCAAATTTGAAAAAGAAGTATGTTGTTTGGGGAAGCTGTCCTTTTTATAGATTTTTGTGAGTATTTTTGAGATTCTATCATATTGTTACTTAAGGTCTTCTTGAAAATCGTTTGGCAAGTAATCATTAATCCATAATTCTTCAGAAAATGCCAAGAGAAAATTATCACCCATTGGAATGAAAATAGAAATACTGATAGAAGCTTTGTATCCTCTTTCTTCCAAAACTTTGTTACCTCTGAATGAAAACATCAATGGCAAGTAGAGTTAAATACGCTATACCAGAAGAACAGAGAATGAGTAGGTGTGTATGCATACAAGTTTAGGAGGTTACTGAAAAAGGTGGATCCAGATAACGCTCTGCCACAAACCTACGAGGTACAAATGTTCATAGGAGGGTTGCAAGGTAAGATAGCATTCATGTTATCCATAATTGATTCAGAAACTTTAGAAGATGCAATGGCAAAAGCAAAAAAGATAGAAGCCAGAGACTATTATGGAGGGTTATCAGTCGAAGAAGTCAGACATACCCCTTTGGAAGACAGTATTGTGAAATTAACTCACAAGTACAAGAGTTGGCCACCAATTATGCCAAGCTCGCCATGACAGTTTCGACTCAATCTGGATCCAGGACGAGGAGTAAAATAGACATACAGGATGTAACTTGTTTCAAGTGTAGAAAAAAGGGACACTATGCAAGAAGCTGCATAACAGAAGGAACAAAACCGCAGAGTGCCACACCAGTAACACCAGTAGAACATGAAGCCGAGGTCTGCTATGTGGAATTAGAAGAGTGAGAAAATAAAGTGTATAATCTTAACACTAGATACCAGCCGTACACTAGAACTCGCAATAACGAAGGAAGCTCAGGATGGAATGAATGCCTAAGGAACTGAGGAAATAAAGACGTTAGACCATCAGTAATACAAGAACCCGGTGATGAGAAAGAAACCAGCAAAGAAGACTTAGTACGTGAAATGGAGAAAGAACCTATGGACATACCTCAAAAGCCTCTCTGGAAAAAAAGGGGACCATCAAGAATTGAATCGGAACCCCCATACAACATTGTTAACAATCTTTTGTCAACACCTGCAAATGTTACTATAGGACAGATGTTATGATATCCTGACCAGAAAAGGAATCTTGCAAAGGTCCTGTAGAGACCAAACAATTTCAGAAGATATCATGTATACCAACATCAGTAAAAGAAGAACAACACCCATGAGATGCCGCATCAGAATCCACGACCAATCTATTATGGCCGTGATTAATACTGGTGCCATGGTCAGTTTCATCACCAAGAGATTGATGAACAGGTTAGGCCTAAAAATAGAAGAAAAGTCGACATCAGCAATAGTCACAATTACCAGAATGCGGAATAGGACCCTGGGTAACATTAACAATGTGAAGATTTCAATCCAAGGTATCGACATCCTATATAACTTTCAAGCAATTGACTCAAAGGATGAAACGCTGCTATTGGGGAATAACTGGTTTGAGAAAGTACAAGCTCATATCCATTATGATGAAAGAAAAATGATATTAAGGTATAGAGGTGAAGTCGTAGCTGCATTAATTTTTAACAACCCAGAGAATGATACAGCTAATGAGGAATACCGTCCTATGACCACTGGAGAAGAACTGTTGGATGAGTTACTCGAGGAAGACATAGAGGATGCGGAAGGGTACTATACCGAAAACATGGATGAGAAGGAATTAATGACCAATATGGAAGAGGAAGGTCCTGCTGTTTACCTCTTTCAAATAGAAGAATTACCTATGATGACAGATGATTTAGAAAAAGCTACTATAGAGGAAAAGATTCAACAAACCGAAATAAGTAATGAATTGAACTGTGATGAACAGGAACAGGCAAAAAAACTGTTGCTGAAAAAGAGTAAAGTCTTTGCATGGATGATTGAAGAATTGAAACAAACAAACAAGGTTTGCCATACAATTAACATGGAGAATGCTACGCCAATCAAACAACCAGCGTATAGAGTGGCTCCAAGTGTTAGAGAATTTATCCAGAATGAAATTACCCACCTGTTGAATCAGGGATTGATTCGAGAATCACAAAGTCTGTGGGCCTCGCCAATAGTTGTGGTACTGAAAAAGGCAGGAAAGTTAAGATTATGCGTAGATTATCGTAAGCTAAATGCAGTAACCAAGAAAAATGCCTACCCCTTATCGCAAATTGATGATCTACTAGAAATCTTCGTGGAAGCCAAATGGTTCACCACATTGGACCTAATACATGTAAGTGGTTATTGGCAGGTTGCTGTGGAAGAGAGAGATAGGGAAAAAACAGCATTCGTCACCATGTATGGAACATATGAGTTTAACGTGATGCCGTTTGGGCTGTGCAATGCCCCAGCAATATTTCAACGTTTGATGGACAGAGTACTGACCCAATTTGTGGGAGGAACGGTTGTTGTTTATCTGGACGATATCATCATTTTTTCTAAGTCATTCACTAAACACCTAACCCACATGAAAAAAGTATTACAAGAGTTAAAACTCACAGAGTTGAAACTAAATTTAGAAAAATGTGTCTTTTTTCGCTCTCACCTTCAATTTTTAGGACACGTAGTTGGACGAGGAGGAATTAGACCTGACAATGACAAAATTGACAAGATTAAGAACTTTCCGGCACTAACGAATTTGAAACAGTTGCACAGATTTATTGGGTTAGCTTTGTACTATTGGTGTTTTATAAAAGGATTTGCTACTATAGCCCAACCATTACATCATCTACTAAAGAAAAATGTTGAGTACCAGTGAAAGGATGAGCAAGAATGAGCATTCGAATCATTAAAACGATACCTGATGACAGTCCCAATCCTACGTTATCCTGATTTTGCGAAAACTTTTTATGTTTACACAGATGTATCAGGTCACAGACTTGGAGCAGTCCTCATACAAAAAGATGATGATGGGAGGGAATTCGTTATTTCCTATGCCAGTCGACGGTTGACAAAGCATAAGAGGAACTACTCCACTACGGAATTGAAGTGTTTAGCAGTCCTGTGGGCAGTAGAACGTTTCTATCACTACTATAGATTAAACCCATTTGTCATTATAACTGACCATATGGCATTACAATGATTGAAAACAACGAAACTTATCGGAAGAAGGGCCAGGTGGATGCTCCGCCTGCAACCATAAGATTTTACTATTAAATACAGAAGCAGACACAAATATAATAACGCTGACGCGTTATCTCGTCTCTAAAACCAACCCCATAGAAAAAAAAAAGAAGAGAAGGAAGGAGATATAGAGAGTGAGAGGAAAAAATATAATCAACACCAAAAAAAAAAAAATCCGAGAAACAGAATCCAGCCCAGGTTCCGGTGTCCTGGCATCCCCTTCTGAAAAAATAATAATAATAATAATAATAATAAAGATGGACCCAACACATTATAATCATTTAAAAACCTACCTACAGAGTAACAAGTTATTTACAAAACTGAACCCAGAAGAAAAATGGAGGTTACAAAAGAAGAATGAATTTTACGAATACAAGAGTGGACTTCTGTATAAAAAAGATCGGCAGAGGAAAAATTGTCTATTGCATGTTATACAAAAATATGAGTTAGAGCCAATATTGTTTTTTGCTCACCAACATCCTACAGAAGCTCATCAGGCTAAGGACATAATGTTTAATAAGCTCCATGATACCTATTTTTGGCCACAAATGTATGAGGACATCAGAAATTATATTCGTAAATGTGAATCATGTCAAAAGCAAGGAAAGACACATACACCTAGCCTATTACATCCAATTCCCATTGCCGCTCCATTCTATCGTATTAGCATCGACTTTATTGGACCCTTGCTCCATACACCTTGACTAAATCGTTATATTATTGTAGCTGTAGATTACCTAACTAAGTGGCCGGAAGCAATACTAACAAAGAAAGCAGATGCCACTACAGTTGCTAAGTTTTTATATCACAAAATTGTATGTTGCCATGGGTGTCCACAATATATTCTATCTGACCAAGGCACACATTTTCACAATCATCTGATTCGAGAATTGGTAGATAAGTTTAAAACCAAACACCAATTTACTACACCTTACCATTCATAGACTAATGGCTTGACAGAGTGGTTCAACAGAACCCTATATATGTCAATCTCAAAATTAGTGGAGTGAATGACTGATTAGGACTTATACATACCTGCCATTCTATTTGCTTATCGAACTGCCAAGAATTTAACTACAAAAATGGCACCCTTTTATCTTGTTTATAGACGAAATACTTGATTACCACTACACCCAAGCACAACAGAGAATTTATTAGAAGACACAATATTACAAAGAACCTATGATCTAATAGAATACTTACCAAGGAATCGTAATATCACAGTATATAATGTGCAACAAGTCCAAGAATAACAAAAAAAGTATTATGACATACATCACAAGATTTGCCCCAAATTTGACATTGGTGATAAGGTTTTGATTATACATGTTGCTGAAATTCATAGATCCTTGACGCAATTGACGCAATTATTTGACGCAATTAATTGAGTCACTATTAAAACATATAAATAATTGAGTCATGACGCAATTATTTTTGAGGATTTTATGAATTGAGTTAACAGTAAAATAATTTATACCACATGTATAGTTTTGATGTACCGGGCTGCCTTAGAATACTCCCGGAGCAGCAAATTTGATCCAAAGTGGACTGGGCCCTACTACATATATGACTGTTTATCACATAATATATATCAATTACAAAACATGGATGGAAAAGTTATTGCGACCCCTGTCAATATAAAAATCCTAAAAAAATTTCATGAAAGACTGACTTTAAGAGATTAATCTAATGCGTGGTACGTATAAGATAGATGTGAGAGAAATGTCAGGGGGTAAAAATTGTAACGCGACATCAGTCACGTGATCAATCGTTGCGTTGGTGCCAGAAAGGACCTATTCCTATTATGGATCTTGAAAATAATAGATGGAAAATATAAGTGATAATGATGGAAAATAGTTAAAATAATAGTAGAGTAGTGCGTTTGAGAATTAGGTAATAAGAAGAGGATCGCGAAAACAATTAAATATTGTAAAGCAATTGTAATTGAGCATTATGTAATTAGAGAGCATCGTGAGAAAACATTAGATAATTGATATCACCTTTATTTTTAGAATATAAAACCATCCCAATTAAGATGTATAAAAAAGAAAGTGAACTAAAAAATAAAAGATACAAATTATTAAAACGATCTTTTGACTCGACCAAATCTTACACACCTAAAAGTCTGCTAAGACCCCTTACCTCATTGACGGTTATGTGAAGTTCTGCCCATTTTAGCAACAGACTCGCCGATTGACTGTCACAATACCTTATTCCTGATTTTGAACTTTTTGTACTTTGTTACTTTTTGATTAAACCTTCATTTTTGTCTTTGTTGTTCTTTATGAATATTTTTTTTTGCTTGTTCCTGTTGTTGTGAAAGTTCTTCTAATAAAGTATACAATCAATCAAGAATTGTTAGTTACAATATTTCATTCATGTTTGTTGTAGGCATTTGAGGTTTTCGTCTATAAAGTAAATAAAATGGTGTCATTTTCGTAGAAAATTGTTTTAATGTTCTATAAGCAAAAAATATTAGTAAAATATGTTGGTCCCAATCTTTTTTGCCTTCAATTAGCTTTGCAAGTAACTCACACAAAGTTTTGTTAAATCGTTCAACCAATCCATTGGTTTGAGAATGATATGTCGTGGATAATAAATATCTTATTTCAAATTGTTTGAGTAATCCATCTACTATTTTATTTTGAAAATGAGTTCCTCTATTAGATAGAATTTGTTTTGGATATCCAGGTCTACAGATAATAACTTGATAGATAAATTCTGCTACACGTTTTCCAGTAGCTTCAGAAATTGCTTATGCTTTAGGTCATTTGGTGAAGTAATCTGTTACAATGATAATATACTTGTTTCTGTGTTTGATAATTGGTAAAGGTCCTACAATGTCTATACCAATTCTGGAAAATGGTTTTTCAACAGGAATGGAATACAAGGGTCCTGATGTTCTGTATCTTCCACGTTTTTGGCACTGGTCCCATAATTGGATGTAGTCTTTAATATTTTCGAACATCTGTGGCCAGTAATATTGATCACAAATTTTCTCAAAGGTTTTGTCAATTCCCAAATGTGCATTAGTAGGATGATTATGCATCAAATAAAGTATTGCTTCGATTTCATGTTTTTGGACAACTTTGAGTAGTTGATTTTGGATTTTTCTTCTTTTGTCTTTCTTGTACAGTTGATTGTTTTTGACTTTGAAAAATTTGCTTTGTGATTATAAACATTTTTTTTTATTGTTATCTATGTTCGTTGATAGTTTATTGTTAAGAATATAATTTTTCAATTGATAATATTGTTGTGTTTCCATGTTGTTGAAGTTTGGATGCCAAGACACCGATTATCTGATTTGGATTCTGTTTTACGTCAGATTTCTTTGATTGTTTTTTCAAGAATATTTAATAGTAGGTAACAGAATTGGCATTTGTTCACCAGACTGAGTTGCAAAGATAGTTTTTGGAATTGTTATTGAATCCTTCTCTATATCGTTTGAAAGGTTGTTCAAGTTTTGGTAACTACCAGTAATCATCAGACAGTTGGATTTGTTCTTCAAATTCTTCATTATTTAATCTTGTTCTTGGAATTTGATGGAAGTTATAATCATGAAGTTGATATTGAAATTTTTTTTTTGGAAGAGGGCATGGATGAATTTCATTTAAAATGATTTGAGTAGATTAAGTTATCATCGATTGGACATTATCTGCTCTTTGTTTTCTTTTACAGGCATATTCATCTTAGAAGGGATATCTGTTTCGATCAGATAATTTTTTACACCAGTTGCAGAAAGTATGGGTATAATAATCTTCAGCTCTCTCTTTGCAGATAGGACAATATCTTCCTGCAATAAATCATTCAACTTTGTAGAGTAATTCTTCATGATTGGAAGTATAAGGTGCAACAGAATCATTTACATCTTTTTCGTTTGTTCCCATCCATTTATTTGACTTGCTTTAGTAAAGGCGGAAAACCAGATTAAAGGATCTTGAGTTCCATTTCCAAAGAAAGGTTCCACTTGAAAAACTTGAGCATTGTTGTTAGCCTTTAAGTAAGCAAACATGTTTTGTATAGTTGCTATGATATTTAAGATATTGGATTCTTAAAATAATAGATCTAAATTTAAATCTTTGTTATTGAATAAATAATTAATAAGAGAATTGTCGAGATGATGTTGGGAGTATTTAAAATATGTTTAGACGAATTAGAGCTTGTATCTTCCAATAAATTGTTTTCAATTGATTGGATAATAAAAGGAATATTAAGGGAAGAGGAGGGCTCAATAATTTCTATATCTGCAGGGTCAAAAATGAAATTATAATAAATATTAAATGCTTGAAAAGTTTCTTCAGTGATCTTATCTAAGTGAACAGGTTCAGAGTATCTAATAGATAAGATTAATTGTTCTAATGTACTGATATAGGAGAAGAGACTAACAGTTTGTTGAACAAAGTAACGATATGTTCTAAATGAATATTGGGTAGCAGGAAAGGTGATAAAAAACCAATTTCAAAAGTGATTAAAGGGGATATTATAATTTCCGATAGGGGGAAAACAAACAGTACAAGATTCGTCTGGTTGTCTTTGCTGAAGGGCTTTCTTAGTTAATTTTGGATTATTTAAGTGTAATTGGTCATGCAAGTAGTTAATACTTACAAACGTTTGATAATTTATCATGAATCTTTTTACCACTGATATTCTCTTTGTTAGACTTTGGATTCCGAATTACAGACTTCCTCTTGCTGTAAATACCTC